ATAAATGTCGTTGGGAAAGTCCGTACGAAAGCTTGGTACCTCATTGGTCAGGGTGCGGGGATTATATCGATATAATTAATATATATATATATCTCGATATAATTACAACATTTACAAATTTTACTGTTATAATGTTTCACACAGATTCCCAATGTAATGTAATAATAACCTCACACATCTCACACTCGGCCGTCTGATCCCAAACTAGGCAGAGCTTGTGCTATGGTAACCAGACTGCTGATAAACATACTTATACATATATATTTTTAAATACATACATATTATAGATAAATTACACCCAGACACAGAACAAATGACCGTGCTCATCACACAATATTTGTCCTGGGTGGGAATTGATTGATGAGTCACTATTTTCTTAACGCAAATGAACTGTTTTCTTGATAACCACCCTTAAGCTAAGCTTAAATAGTTGTTTCACAAGTGCGTTGATGTCAATAGTGCTCTGGATGGGATTTAAAACCGCAACCACTTGATCGCAAGTCTTACGCCTCTAGCCATTGGGTATGCTACTGCTGCTGGGCATCATATTGATTAATCATTTTAATAATAATTATATTGATGACTGATATGTTTTCCCCTGTAGCATAATTAATCACCCTGGGACTTACTGTAATAGCAAAAAGAGTGTGATTTTATCTATAATATGTATATTACATTTTCATTTTTGAGATTTAAATGCTTTTCCTGTATCTTTAAGACATAAGGCACTAGTCAGCAGTATGATTTCACTATTGAATTAAAAGAGGTAAAGTACTGAATCTGAAAACTGTCAATGCACTTCAGAGGTGTCGGTAACGGTAACAATCACACGTATTCAGTTGTTTTGTCTCACCTCAAAAAATGACTAATGCGCCTAAAGAAGTTTTTACCTCAACAGAGGTGTCGGTAATGAAATGATAAAATGGTATTTATGTCTGCAGTAAATCTTTTCAGATATTTTTACAAGTCAGACTTTACAGCTAGCAGGCACAGGCAATGGTAACAATGTCGTGAGTTCAGTGGTGTTTTCCCATAGAATACATTCTTTTATTTGTTTTATTTGTTACGCACCTAAAGAACTCTCACTTCAAAAATCATATTATTTTCCAACATTTCTGGATGTCATCCAGAAAAATAACATTTTACATCACTCCTCCTTCATCTAATAATTTTTGTATATTTTTTGTGTAAAGAATTAATCATAAAATACTTATAAAAAAGAACTTTAGTGTTCTGTGCAATTTATTTCTAATTTATAAAAGGGAAATAATATATTTTAGTAAATTGGAGATAAAAGATATTAAACAGAAAGTTAATTAGTAAATTTTTTCCTCAAACATTTATAAGATGGCCCAGCAACTGACACTTAGCAATAGACATTTTATTGCCTTGTTGATGACAAAGATGCTTGTAATTTTTCAAATGATTTTAGGATCAAAAATTGACCCAGTATTTATTTTACATTTAACTCAATTCTAACTAATTACTATTTCCTTAATTAATTTTCTCTCTATCTGCAAAGAGAAGGAAAACTTGAAACAAACCCTATACCAACCAGTCTGGCCAGTGTGGTATAATCAGGCAAAACCTTACTTCTAACTAGAGGTCTATGTCTATTGCAGTGGTCTATTAAAAGCTGTTGATGACGATGATGATGATTATTTTATTATATGTAAGTGAATTTCTTATAGTACAAGGGGAAAAAAAGCAGATAAGTCACTTGATGATAAGTGATTTTCTATAATAATGATATTTTAGACATGTGACACCCAACGCCATCTAGTTTCAAACTCAGCAAAGCTTGTACTGTGAAAGCTAGATTGACTGATAGAACATTATTTATTTACTTTTTTTGGAAATACATACATATAATACATAGAAAACACCCAAACTCCGAATCAAATTTTTTTGCAGATCATACAAACATTTGATCCGACCTGGGAATCAAACCTGAGACCTCAGCATAGCAGTCGCTTACGCTACCACTGCACCGAGGCATTCTATGCTTGGTATGATCTGCTCAGCCCATGTAAGAAGAGCTCACCAAATAAGTGTTTGTCTTATAACTTTAATCACTAACATAATAATAAATAAATAAAAAGTAAATTTGATTTAATATAAGTTTATACATTTGATTACACTGATGGAATATGTGATATGTTCCTATAATAATATTTTCAGGTGTTTTTTAGGTAACTGTAAAACGTTAGCAGAGCGAAAATGTAAATGCAACTCATTATGAAAACGCCTATAACAGTAAAAGTCTGGTGATTACAATACGATCTTGGCTTTGCCCCAATAAAACAACAATGTTTTTGATTTTCAAACATATTGAATCAAAAATAATGACCAGAAACTTTTATGAATGTAAATAAAACAGTTAACAAAAAATTTTATGTCAGTAATACTTGTAAAACCATGTTTTCTCACCGGTTGTGATAAGTCTGGAAAAGATCCTTGTGGAACTGACTCGGTAAACAGTGATGAAGACTCTGCTGGCTCTCCCATAGCAGGGTTATAACCACGCATAAGTGACTGGTTAGGGTTAAAAATCTAGCCGGTATTAAAGTATCAGCTCCTCTCATACCGATTATGGCAACTTTCACAAAACTCAAAGTGCTACGCGATTTACGCAAATTAAATTCAAACAATGCATATAAATAAAAAGTGACAGACCCACGTTCCCAGTTCATGACAATTTTTCAACGTTTGGTTAACAGTAGGCATCCCTTTCTTATCAATGTATATAAAGCAAGACAAATGCTGGAATAAGCAATCGAGTAGGTTCAAAATCAAAACTGAAACACATTCTAGAGTAAAGAATTCCTTGACTTTGTGCTTCGTTTGAACCACCTTGCACAAATATTGCCTTATTAGCATTCAAGGTATTTCTGCATCAATGTCAATTAAAGCTAAAGCATAACTGCATATCATACCTTTATGATGTTATTAAATACAGATCAGTGCTAATTTCTAGTAGTTTCAACTTCTCTTATAAAAGGTACTTAACCTAAACGCAATAATATATTTGAGGACAATCAAACATTTACTTTAGATTAGATTGGGCACATGATAATCTTTTCAAAGTTTTTATACTCAGCGGGTAAAAGAAGGAACAATTTACTTTCTATAATTCGTTTATTTTTTTTCAAACTGCCTGCATTTACATTGCACGAGGCGGATTTAAGATCCAAAAAAACCTTCCTTAATCATTCAATTCGTATTCGTAATCGTCTAATTTGTATCTTAATCGCTTCTCGCTAAATTGATTAATAATGGATATTACTAAATTTCCAACACCCTATTTTCTCTCGCTCAGATATCTGGGATTTAATATGAGAAAAAAATAGATCATTTCATTTTCTACTTACAATCGCGGATTTTTTGTCATAACGTTTGCTTTCCATAACGTTATGTTTTTCGGTATTCCAACACGTGCTAGTACTATTCACTCGGTTCAAGGCTCGCAGTAAACGCACTTAGAAAAAAATAGTAGATAAACCGTCTGACGATAATTATATACCAATAAAACAGCTAAACCGAAAAAACTGTGCAAAAACTTATATTTTATACCAAAAGCGTTCATAATTAGAATGCGGACATTAACCTATTTTCGATGCTATTCGTTTTGAAGATACCAAAACTGTCTCATACCATGAAGCAGTGCAAAATGAAGTAGATTGTTGCATAGTACAATTGTTGTGGCTATAATTAGGAATTATTGATAGCATTTTATCCTGTTATTTACAAGTTCTTCCATAAGTGACTTTTCTTACAACCAGGTATACCTAATTAGAAATTAAACTTTCTATCATATTATTGTCTCCTTTAAAGACAATAATATGATAGAAAGTTTAATCCTTTTAAAAGATAGTAGTCATGTAAAGACCCTAAAGCAGTCATTCCATAAATGAAGGTTCATTTATTGAATGACTGTTATATAGGCGCTTTTCTGTTATCGAAAGAACTATTTATCGGGGACCTATGATAAGTATTTTAAAGGATTAAATTGTCAGAATAAGCACTAGTGTGGCAGTGAGCCTGATATAATGTTATCAAAACGTCAGTAAAGTAGAAGAAACGTAGAAATATAACATAACTGTTTAGTACGTTTATTTTTAAAAGTTGCAAGACAAGTTACCGACCCTGTAATCCATAATCCTATGCACAGAAAAATCCCATGTACTATATATATTAGCAAAATTGCTGTTTATAATACTTATAATGAATTATAGAATGACTTCTAAATTTATATTTCAACCAATGATATTTAATATGTAAAAAAAGAATCATCAAAATCGGTTCACCTAGTCAAAAGTTCTGAGGTAATAAACATGAAAAAAAAAATACAGTCGAATTGAGAACCTCCTCCTTTTTTTGAAGTCGGTTAAAAAGAGGTATGAAATCATTGATTTAAACAATGAGATTATTATTATAGGTCGTTTACACGCATGGCTAGCCTCAACAAGACTAAGTCTAAGACTAAGTACTAACTTCACAAACACAAGCGTGTAAACGGGGTGCTTGGCTCAGCTCGCGTAAGGTTGTCGGTATTAGTGTCGGTTTTTGAACAAAGATCAAAGGAAGCTTGCTGCAAGCTTTAGCGACGTATTTACATATTGGCACGTGCTTGTTCCCCACTGCTCAATTTGATATGAGTTGAGTAGTCGGGAATCAACATTGAGTCTCTATGCTTTTTTTTAGTTTAGTGCCGCCATTTATATTGCCGCAGTAAATAGCATCCAAGCAGATGCTTACAGATGTAAAGACTTACTAGGCATTATTCATACCGAGAGTTTAGTATTTTTTAAAAGAAATCTACCATCGATTCACATCCCCATTTTCAAGTTTCAGTTTCAGAACGCTCTCTCTCTTCTCATTGCCGGGCGGTGTGTTGATGCTGTCAGTGTCATTTTACAATAAAATAAATAAAGTGTTGCAGCTTTATTTATTTTGAATATAAGCTGTTATTTTCAGTTATATATTTTAATATATCATAAATGAAGCTGTTAAAACCCAGTTGGGTCAATCATGATGGTAAATTACTCTTGATAGTGATGTTTGAAACGATGACTTTTTGGATAGTTTGTTAATCCTTAAAATCGATATTTTTCAGATAAACCAATATTTTCTATTGATATTCATCCAACGGGGAAGCGGTTTGCAACCGGAGGACAGGGCGGAGACTCCGGCAGGGTTGTGGTTTGGAACTTAAATCCAGTTTTATTTGCAGCAGTTGAAGTGGATCCCAATGTTCCCAAAATGCTATGTCAAATGGATAATCACTTAGGTTAGTAATTCGTACAACAATGCAAATACAATTAAAAGTAAAATTTAAAACATATTACGAACCCCTAATACTAGAAACTTTATAATGATGAAGCACATCTAATAATATTAAATTTAACATATTATTGCTATACTTTCAATTTCTATATGAAAAGCTAAGCAATCCTAGCCAGGTCAGTCTATAGATAGGTGACTATTTGCTAAGCTGTGGGTCCCAGTTGCCACATGAGCATCTGTGGTAATCGTCTACAACAATTATCATCCAATAACAGTCTATCTACAGAACTTTGAAATTGCCAAGTACTAGGCAATTTTGAAGTTCAGGTTGTGGAGGTCTGATGGTAATTGCTCCACATAAAAACCAAAGTTCAGTCATGTCTGACTAGATGAAAGCCAACCACAACCTGGTTTGGTAAAGGCTTGGAAGATGATAAATCTCTTCAAAGTATAAGTGTAAATTGTTTTAAATTAAAAAGTTTTTAATTCATCTAATCTCAAATATTTTTTCTATCCTTTTAAGAAAACATTGAGTTATGGGTGGTGGAGGATTACAGACATGGTCCACAATAAAAAAAACAAGCTCTGTACCAATGAACAATTAAATGTACATTACTTTAGCCAATTGAATAATTGACTTTAATGATGTAAACATAACATTTAAAAAACAACATTTAAGCATTTCACTAATAGTATATTATTTGCACTTTCTAGCCTGTGTTAACTGCGTGCGATGGAGTAACGGTGGCAAATACCTAGCTTCAGGGGGTGATGACAGACTAGTGATGGTGTGGGGTCTCAGTGTGGCCCCTAGTACACCGGGCAAGCATAAAGCTGAAACGTGGAGGTGTCTGGCTACATTGAGGGGTCATGCGGGTAAGTTGCAAAACGTTAGGTATATTATATTGCCAATGGAAGAAAAATAACTAAAAGTGAGCTCGTACAGCTTGTAATTGTAATTTTGTTTGAATAAAGTTACAAAAAAGTATACAGTCGATACTTTGTGGGCTACATGTGAATTTTGGAGGCTTGTGAAATTTGGAATATTAAAAAGTTTATATGCAGAATGCCTTCCATGATTTCTGGGGTAAATAATTTCTATGTCCTTTCCCGGGACTCACACTATCTCTATACCAAATTTCATGTTAATCAGTTCAGAGGACAGAAACAAATGCGGAAGGCATTTATTAAAAAAATGACATTTTATCTTATACTGGAAAGGGACAACTTAACAACTTTTTTCAATTAGATCAGTGACTATGTAGAATTATAGTTGAACTAACCATCACACTGTTTGTATTTTAATAAAAAAATAAATATTTTAATTCAATTTAAATATAAAAAAATATATTTTTTTTAGGGGATGTCCTTGATTTGGCATGGTCACCACTAGACAAATGGCTAGCCAGCTGCAGTGTGGATAACTCCATCATTATATGGAATGCAGAGAAATTTCCAGAAATGGTTTGTGTGCTCAATGGGCACACTGGGCTTGTTAAAGGAGTTGCATGGGATCCTGTAAGTACTTTTTAACTATTTTAAGCTATTCTTCATTCTTCTACATTCTATAATATCAAATATAGCTAACCTAGGAACCATAATATTTTTTGTCTGTGGTGCTTCCCTATGCCTATTTTACTGCATTTTGTCTCCTGCTTTGCTATGGAGGGAAGTGATTTTATTATATTTCCAACTCCTGCAATTTTCGTCTGATTAATTTCGTCCGGGTTCCAAGACAGTTTAGTTTTTATTTCCTGAGACTTCCGAGTGTCATAACTCAGTGTGTTCGTGGGTCACTGCTGTTGATCCTGGTGTACAGGAGTTACAGTGATGGGCGTGTGGGAGGGATTAGTCCCATAGTAAATAAATAATCAGAAAAAAGCTTTTATCACATGGTTTTTTTTTTGATTAATCTTGTCCCTATGACCAAAAAAAGGAAATTGTATTAATGTTGTACAAAACTTATTTTCAGTTTTTCTAACTTTTATATGAGAAACTTTATGAGTTATGAAATTTTGGTGTCTAGTATGAAATTAAAAAAATCACGACATGTCAAAATCACTTTCTGCCGTTAAGATAATAATTATAAAAAATAAAAATATGTTTATTGCCACCGCAAATGACACAATGTACATATAGTGAATTATAAAAATTAGTGCAAAATTAAAGTTGTAGTTTGGGGTAGTATATAAGGTTGAAATATAAGTATGGAACTTGGAGCTGCTTTTATAATTTGATTAAAAAAACATTATGTAGTTAAAGTTTTCCTTTCTAAGTTTATTTATGTAGTCTTACTTCCTGAGAAAACGAGACACAAGCGTACCTTCTACCATTTGTTCTTTTCTTTAAATATTTATCAGTAAATTTTTTTCACTCAGTTTAACACTAGCTGTTTTCTGGCTATTGTAAAACATGTCTTATTCTGTATCTTCAGGTTGGCAAATATTTAGCATCACAATCTGATGACAAATCGTTGAGGGTGTGGAAGACAGCAGATTGGGCTCAAGAAATCACCATCACAGAACCCTTTGAAGAGTGTGGAGGTAATTATGTACATATATTATGAAAAGGCTTATTCTCGTAAACTCACGACGATTATATTTGACTTTTTTTATATAAAACTAGCTGAGACCCGCGGTGTTACCCGTGTTTGTTGTTATAACCGCGGGCAACGCCGTGGGGCGAAGCTAGTCTAAAAAAAGTAGCCTTAGTTACTCCTTATGTCATCAGCTATCTGCTAGTGAAAGTCCCGTCGAAATCGGTCCAGCCGTTCCAGAGATTACCCGGAACAAACAGACAGACAGACAGACAGACAAAAATTGTAAAAAATGATATTTTGGCATATGTACCGTGTAAACATACATATGCATTTAGTAAAAAGCGGTTATTTTAATATTACAAACAGACTCTCCAATTTTATTTATTTGTATAGAAAAATAGGTAAAAATCTTATTCTTAATTTATTCCGAGTAGTTCCATGAAGCCAGTTCCCCATTAAACTTTTGCAGCTAGCCATTCTGACACTAGTTTTCTATCGCTGTTTAAATATTTTTTTGAATATTAAATATAGCTATCTAATATAGGTACAACTCACGTCCTTCGGCTGTCATGGTCGCCCGACGGACAGTACGTGCTGTCTGCGCATGCGATGAACGGCGGTGGACCCACCGCGCAAGTCGTAGAGCGAGACGGATGGAGGTGCGACAAGGATTTTGTAGGACACCGGAAAGCTGTAACATGTGCTGTAAGTGGTTATTTACATACTAAGCTCAAGCCTGTGTCCTTTTTATGGCTGTGGCTATTAAAAAATTAAATTTTACGAATAATAATTTAGACAGTCTCGTAACCAGGCTGTTAAGGAATTAAAGGGATGGAAAAATTAAAAATATTTCAATAACCTCACACATCACGTACACGGCTGTCTGATCCCAAACTAGACAGAGTATATATATATATGATATGGAGCCTATATGGTAACCAAATTGCAGATACTTTTATATTTCTAAAAACATACAAATTATAGATAAAATTACACCTAGACACGAATAAATGATCGTGCTCATTACACAAAATTTCCTGGGTGGGCATCGAACCCACGACCTCCGGCTTAGCAGTCAGGGTCACTAACCACCTTACCATATATAGCATATTATACCATAAAAAAATATATTAATAATGAAGGGTAGTTAACACCTGACGCCTGGACGGTATGAAAGGCAGTGTGTAAGAAAGATCAAGTATGAAGAATGAAAGTACGAGCAGTATCAAATGAGAGAAATAGAATGAATGGATGTATAACGACGACTGGATGGCGTAGTGGTTTGTGTAACGGACTGCTATTCCAAAGGTCGCGGGTTCGATTCCCGCTCAAGTCAAACATTTGTGTGCATGAACATTTGATGTTTGATTTGGTCTGGGTGTCTCTATGTATTATATGTATGTATTTACAAAAAAAAAAAAAGTATATATGTATTAATATCAGTTGTCTAGTACCCATAGTACAAGCTCTGCTTAGTTTGGGACTAGATGGCGTTGTGTGTATGTGGTAGAATATTATTATATTATTATTATTATAATTGATGAATGGAAGGTAATAGGCTCATAATTGACATTGGAGGTGCTAGAAGGCAGCAACACCCTGCGATGGCGGGTGCCTGCAATCAAATTATAGTGTTACAGAGTAAACTTGTGTAGACAGTGTCCTTTTTTTTTTTTTTTTTTCGTGCGGAAATCCCCTCGGATACCACCTATCGGTGGCATGTCGGACTCGAACCCACTAAAACCGCACGCCGTCTCGGGTACTAATAGCCGGGGAACCAGGTATACCCTAGACAGGAAGTCCCTGGTGCCCCGACATACCTCGGGTGTAGACAGTGTCCCTGTCTCTAAAAAATACATAACTCTGTATACAACTATGCTTTTATGTTAAAACAAACACATTGTACACACAAACTAACTGTATTAGGCTTTTTTGAAAATGAATTATTGTTATTACAATCACAAATAATTTTTCCATGCATATCTAAATTCAAATGCACTTTAAGATCTATAAAAAGCTGTATTATAAAATTATCCATTAAACTTATAGTTTAATAGAAAACATCCCATCTGCTGAAAATGACGTTTTATTTTTTTGAATGAAAAAGACAATATGACAGGAATACAGCGTCTTCTCCGTCACACAGTCCTTCCATCTTTTCTTTAGTCTGCAACTTGCTTAATGGAAAATGCAGTTAAATTAATGCATACATGTCATATTTACAGCGATTCAACAACAACATATTTGTGAAGGAAGGCAAGAAGTGTTGCTGCGCTGCGGTTGGCTCCCGTGACAGGGCGCTCAGCATCTGGCTCACGTCTCTCAAGCGACCCCTCGTCGTAGTACACGACCTCTTCAGTGATAGCGTCCTGGACCTGTCCTGGAGCTCTGATGGTCAGTTGAACATAGTTTTTGACTTGAAGCTTGTAGCTAAATTTACATATGAAAATGACAGATTTTTAATTGCATGGGATCAAAGCAGGTAGAAAATAATGTGTGTTTAATGTTACCAGGCTTAAATTTGTTGGCGTGCAGTTCTGATGGTACAGTTGCGTGTATACAGTTCACAAATAAGGAGATCGGCACACCACTTACGATTGATGAAAAGGTTAGTTGAGAATTTTTATGACCTTTTCACATAACATACAGTGATTTCTTGGACAGTTGAGGTCGTTGCCCTAAGGTATTATCATCAACAGCCTTTAATAGTCTACTGGTGGACATTGGCCTCTCCTTAGAAAGTAGGCTTTGGTCTACTATACCATGCTGGCCAGACGGGTTGGTATAGGGTTTATTATTGTTCTGTGTAGTTTTTTCCCTTAGTCGGTTCTTACAACACCCACGGGATGAATAGGGGTGGTGACACTCTGTATTCTTAATCCGTCACTACACGAAGGTATTAAGGTACTGAGTTTGTTTCTTCAGCCAGATTTGCGACTTTATTCCTCTTTAAACCGACATTGTACTTAATATAATGGAAAAATAAACTAAAGAACATGTTCATACATGCAAACCCATAAAGGTCGTCTACTAAGTCATGGTGGTGTACCCAGCCTTCACTAGCGTGTTAAGAATACTGAAAATGTTTATTCAAATGAACACCTTTATTCCTGATAATGTGTCCCATAAGTAAAAGCCTTCGTTATTGATCAAATTCCTAATCTTGTCAGAGAAAGCTGTGTCAAAATAAATATCTGATTTCCCCATTGTTAAAATAACAACTCGATAAAATAGCTGTCTTTCTAATCTTTCATCTCTGTTGTTTTTTTAGAATGCATTTTATGAGAAGATTTATGGGAAATGCCTGGCCAATGAGTCTGGAGGTGATTTATCATCCAACCTTCTTGTGGAATGTCCAGAAATTCTATTGGCTAGAGAGAAGCAGGAGGCCAAAAAAGAGGCAGCTAAAGAGGAAACAACGCCTAAGAGTGATAAATCACAAGTGAGTATTACAATTTGATTTTTTTTGCAATCTTACTTGTTTTTAGTTTTATTTTTTTTAATATATGATTTTAAATATATCTTTTAGACAAAAGCAGCTCTTCGTATATCTATTTATTTATTTATTTAATTTACACATCTATTTATTTACAATGTTATTGGTTAAGTCGACCTAGATACTTTAGGGGTTGTAGTGGCCAATATTGCTGATAGATTTCACTATGAAATACCGAATCCTGAACCCTAACCAATTTCAAGATATATATTTTAAGAAATTTTGTCTGATACAATTTTTTTATAACATATCTTAAATTATTACTGTTTTTGTGTCGTTTATACATTGTTTTATAATTTTTAGTACAAAAATTGTAGTTAACTTATAAAACTGGGTAAGTAAGTAGTAACTAAACTAAACTGGGTAAGTAAGTAGATGGTTATTAATAGAAAAAAAGTTGTAAAAACGTTTCTCTTTAACGAATATTAAAAAAAAAATGACAAAAAGCTAATGACAATTACAGATGTGTTAAAGAATATCTATGTAATGTCAGCTATCTAACAAGGTATAAAACTCCAAGATAGTATCAAAATTCATAGAAAAAAAGTTAGATGAATGACCAGGAGTATCGAGTACAGTAGTTATCTAGTCGAAAATGTTACTTGTATTTTTGGACTGTTTCGTTTTTTATTCGTGACTATATAAAAAATGAATACTATAAATATTATTTATTTGTTTTCAGCCAAAGAGTCTGCTTAGTCCCTCGGCGGGATCAAGTAGTATATTATCGACCCCTCTTCGCCCTATGGATAGACAGATCGAAACGCGCACGTCGGACGGAAAGAGACGTATTACTCCAGTATTCATACCACTTACCCATGCTGATGCTAAGTAAGTTAATTGGGTATTTTACTAGTCAGTCTGATTACTTGTTTTTGGATTTGATAGTCTAAATTTTATGAAAGTGTACTTAGGGTAAGATCCTGAGAAGCAGAACAGTGATCATAACACAGGTGAAATACGTTTTACAAATTCAATTCAATTTATTGCATTCTATAGTGCATTTACAGATAACAATTATGGACCCTGTCCGGTACAGCACTATATCTTTATCTATTTTTGTTATTGACAAATCGATTTTAATCATGCTGGTGTATTATAGTAATCAGGATTAATTTGTTCAAATTTGAAGAATTTCGCTTCCAAGGATGGAAACTGAGGCAGAGTTTTAAAATTCATAATGATTTAAGTGAATGACAGACTTTTTTCAAATATTGTTAATTTATCAAATTTTATCTTAAAATATTTTTATTATGGGGGTGTAGTTTTATATGTAACAAAATTATTTCATTTAATGGTGTTATTTAATGCAAAAACAATTTATTTCCAGTGAATCCTTGGGTTCCCAGCCGGGTGGCACAGAGAACTGCTTCAGCACATCGTCCCAGAGCAAGTCGCGGATACGCGTGGAGGTGCGCGACGACATCGTCATACATCCCAACGTCAGCAACCACGCCACCTCCACACAGCACAACACGTCCAAGACCAGCGACAGGTGAGCCTATCGAAATGACATTTAGTTTCGTACATTGAGAACGTGGATATTTATCAGAGAGTATATGTTCCAGTGGACTGGACCAGCGCCTGCGCTCGCGAGGAGGGGGCCCCCTGCCGGGGCCCCGCGCGGCCGAGCTGTCGGCGCGGCGCGAGAGCGCTGCGGCCCCGGCTCAGCCCACGACGGGGGCCCCCGCCGCCCCGGGCCCCGCGCCGCTGGCGCTACCGCCGCCCGCCCTCGGCACTGCGGGGCCCATCGTCAGGGCCGCCGGACAGTACCGGCTACAGGTAACACTGCCGCTTATATTGCACGGCCCAATCCAGTATGGGATACGATGCATGGCATTTTTTTTTAATATTATAAGGGGGCAAACGAGCAGACGGGTCACTTGATGGTAAGCAACTACCACCGCCCATGGACACCTGCAACTCAATACTTACGTTCAAAGTGACACGCTGAAGTTCTTAATAAAATAAAATGTGATTAGCATAATCATTTGTTCTGTGTCTGGGTATAATTTATCCATAATATGTACGTATGTATTTCGAAATACATAAATATGTATATCAGCAGGCTGATCACCGTAGTACAAACGCTGGCTAGTTTGGGATCCGAAGGCCGTGTATGGGAATGTGCGAAGATATTATTATTGCTATAGAAATATTGATCATAAAAAAATATAAACTGCCTCAATTAATATTACAAAGCTTAATATTTCTAATCCATACGCATCAATAGTTTGTATATATTTGTATCATCACATCATGATCAATGAGTTTAAAAGTTACAGCCACTTGCGCATGGTGACGTGTCGCCACACCAACACACTCGGAATAACGACTCGTATATCACATATGTGGGAATCGAACCAGTAGGAAGCGGCGAGGCGAAAGCTTAAATTACCACACCATTCATGCAGTCATAAATCTATACAAAGTTATTTTTGTTATTCAAATAAACTTGCGTATTTTTTTTAATGAAAATACTGTAAGTAAGTGTATTTTTTTTTCCCAGGTTATAAACAAAGCATTCAACACACATTACGGCACACTATCGCGATTGCAACTGCTTCCCATTAATTCAGCCTCAAGTGATCCAGTGTGGGAGACCTATTTAGGTGAGCCAACAAAACAGAATTAATTCTTACTTCAGACTTACTTGCTAAAATAACATATTTGTTTGACTTCCTGTCCTTCCTGTCTGGTGTTTCCTCTCTTATATCGACCTGGTCATCAAGACGGTAATTATTTTTTTTTAAATAGGCATGGGATGAAATCGCAAATACATATAATTTTAAAATCATTTCAACACACTGCGACTTACTATTACGCTAGCACGAAAGGTCTATTTCCAAAAAAAGAAGTTCGGTTTGATTGGACATTCATTTTTGTCTATGAGAAATCTAACTAGCGATTTATCATACAAAATCACAGCGATCATAACCAATTATTCGTCATATGAGTATGAAGTAAAAGTAGAGATAATTTGCATGTCTATTTTAAACCAATAAAATCATCATCATCAGCTATTAAAAGCTCACTGTTGGACATTGGCTTCTCCTTAGAAAGGAGGTATTGGCCTACTATATCACGCTGGCCAGACGGGTCTTGATAGGGTTTGTTTCAAGTTTTTCTTCTCTTATTAATAAAATACCAGTCGCGAATGTCGGTTAGAAGCTATGTTATCTGTGCAACCCACCGTGTGCAGGTTCTCCGGTGACGTGTATCTCGTGCGACGCGCGCTGGGCGTGCGTGTCGTGCGCAGACGGCACGCTGCACGTGTGGCAGCTGGCGCGCCCGCACGCCGCGCGCGCTCTGCCGCCCATCGGTACGTACGCGCCGGCTATTGTCTGCTCTACACATATTATCATATCTAAAGGGATACATGAACACTATTGCCAACCCGAATCCTTAACATAATTTATCAAACCCCTGATATCAGAGGTGAAATGTCCTCGGTTACTCTAGAAGGCCAATTCCCGTAATTAAAGTTCAATCAAAATTCGGTTCCGATTACTGTGATAACAGATATTTTTGTTGTAAAATAATATAGTAGTTCTACTAAGACTAGTAAATTACCGATTCAATGTTCGGTTACAATACGATATAATCACATTCCAGTCAAAGTTGTATGTTTAATACTTCACTACGAAAATACCTTTTATGACAGTTGTGAAATCGAAAATTGATCGGAACTGAATTGTAACCAAACTTTTATTACGAAAATTGGCCTTCAAGTGTTTGTTCCTAGTATCCATTGCAGAATTACGTGGCTGTTACTGTAATACACCTTCAACGAGAATTAGTGACAGACTATAAGTGACAGAACTCGTATAACGCTTGTGGTACTGATTTGATATACAAATTCGGATTAAGTAATCCTTTTCCTGTCATTATGAAACTTCTTGAAGGTGTATGACGCCATAGACGCTGCTTTTTAATCTAGCATTGAAAGTCCTAAAATCTTTTTATTAGAATCTGTATTTTATACTTATTGTCCAATGGTTTGGATACTTAACACTTACTATCGACGACATTAGTTCCTGTTGGATCACCTCATTTACAGAATCTCTGAGTGCGGGGATCGCAGTTGCAAGAAATTTTGTGTTTTAACCTTGGTGCTTCAGAAGCTGCCTCTTGACAATAGATATAACACACCTATGATCGTTTTGCTAAGTTTTACTGACTGTACTCACACCTGTGGTCACAGCTATGAGTTTTATCAAATCAAATCAAATCTTTATTTGCCAACCAAGTGTACATCAATGATCTTATAATATTATATGTAGTAGTCCCAACTTAGAAGCCTTTTCCAGGCATTGCAAAATTTGAGAGAGAACGCAGAAGAATAAATTGTTACACAAGTACAAGCATTTTTTGAACAATACAAATTAAGTGACTCAATAGTACAGTATAACAATCGAACAAAGCATGCAAAAATACGAAGGCACCCGACATTCTACATCACCAATACATATACACATTTCCCTACTGTCCAGTATCAGTTACAAAACCACGTAAATTTACATCTAAATTGAAATAAATGTTACATTACAGCTCTGATGTCTCAAGCAGCTAAGCTCACGTTGTCTGGAGACACGTTGGCGGTGGTGACGACGTCGGCCGAGCTGGCAATGTGGGACCTCGCCACGTCCGCCTGCGTCATACGACCGCTGTGCTTTAGGTCCCTGTTATCTCATGGAGGTAAGATGGTTTAATGTGTTATAATATGTATGTAATTACAAAAAAAAGCATATAGAATTCTATCAGTCAATATAACTTTCATAGTACAAGTAGTTTGAAACTAGATGGCGTTGTGTGTCAGATGACCGAAAATTTTAATATTATTAATCTATTCAGCTTTTTGAAAATTGACAGCTATAAGAAATGTTTCAATCGAAGGTATTCGAGATTTTCAATTTGTTTTTGGTTGAGTGATCAGTCGTTAGGTCACAATAAGTGAATGCTTATACAGATTTTCCCCTAACATCACATCAACAGCCTTATGTCCACTGCTGGAAATAGATTTTTTTTTAGAAAGAAGGTTTTAATCCCTACATGTCCTATACTTATTATGAATGGTGTTTGTTTACAGTGATTGTTACAAATTGTACACTCCTGGAAGATGGCAACCCTATGATTTCGTTAAGTAACAGCAAAAGTTATATTTATAGTAAACAGTTATGCGCATGGTAAGTTATTATAAAATATTATTTTATATTATTTTTGAATGATTTATCTAATATATGGGTTGTAATTTTTTAAATTTACTTAGGATGTCTTAATACCAAGTTGTTTTTGGTTTTATAAATTGTTATTTGTTAGATATTTTTTATTGAGATCTATATAATTTAGTAAATACCAGTATTTATAATATAAAGAAGTAGAAAAAAGATTTTTTAGGTAAACACATGCACGACATGGTAATTATGGGTAGGTTTACTATCAGGTTTCTAACATTTTATTCTACAGTGAGGCTATTAGAATTCAATTTTTAAGATTAAAAGCTAAACCCTCGTTTAGATTTCTTAGTTAGTACGTGCAGATTTTCACATGATTTTTTAACGGATTAAGCAAAATGTAAGTAAAGGGTCGACGTCACGTTCCAGGGTGGTGTGGGCGGACGCGAGCGACCCCGTGTGGCGCTGCAGCGGGGGCGCGGGCGGGGCGGCGCGGGGCGGGGGCGGCGCGCGCGGGGCCAGCCCCCACCCCCGGCACCGCCTGCCGCGCGCCAGGCCACCGGCGCTCTGCAACAGGTCTGCACCGTCTACGTCTTTCTTTACTTCAGTTAGACTATTGTACTGTGGAAGAACCACTGTCACGACTCTTCACCGCAAAGGAGGATTTGCCTGGCCAGGGCCTCGCGGGCCGCGACCCAAAGGATGTTAGGCAGTTGTAATGCTGATCGTGCGTGAGAGATTTTCATATCGCGGTGTTTGATTCGCAATTACCCCGTAGTTCGGTGTGTCTTCGTTAGATGGCACTGAAGTATGTTTTTGTTTCACAATATGTATACTGTGTATTATGTGTATGCACTATGTACTGTGTATGCAGTCTCGTTTTTAAACTAAATAAATTAAAATCTAAAAGAATTAAGAATAATCACAAATTTATATTATACATGATCAGTTTGTATTATATAAATAACTAGCTGAGACCCGCAGTGTTACCCGCGTTTGTTGTTGTAACAACGGGCAACGCTGCGAGGCGAAGCTAGTCTAAAAAAGTAGCCTAAGTTACTCCTTATGTCATCAGCTATATGCCAGTGAAAGTTCCGTCGAAATTGGTCCAGCCGTTCAGACAGACAAAAGTTGTAAAAAATGTTATTTTGGCATATGTACCGTGTAAACATACATATGCATTTAGTAAAAAGCGGTTATTTTAATATTACAAACAGACACTCCAATTTTATTTATTTGTATAGATGACATTATGTACTTTGAAGTCCTACACGTTTGTTAAGGGTGGATATTTTGGTGGTGGTTTAAAATATATTATCTCGCCTGTATCATTAAATGTACCATCCTAAAGTACAGCTTAAATGGTTCTCCATTATCAAATTAATATTTTTATTGATAAATATATCAGTGACCAAGACCGAGTGATAGATATATTTAAACAAACATTAGCTAGATATGACGTCACGCTATAGTATTTCATACAAAAACGTACCTCGCCTAATATTTAATAAAAAGATACTAATTTGACTTGACACTCTTGACAGCCAAACTTTTTTAATATTTGACAGATGGTTTTACCTAATATACTTTTGTTTTTTTTTATTTATTTCTATAAAAGTAGTTTGTAAATTTAGTGAGTATATTTATTAGAGTTGTAAATATGATGAGTTATATCGCGTCTGGTTGTGTTGTGCAGCAGCGTGGTGTGGGGCGCGGCTCGCAGCTGGCTGGAGGCGCAGGTCGCGTCCAGCCTGCACCTGCGCCTGCCCAAGGACTACCGCCACTGGCTCACCGAGCTCTTCGACCATCTCGTCAGCCACGGTAACACACGCCACTACCCATTTTAATTATCGTTTTAAATCTTAGGAAGTGGTTTGCTGAAATAAGACCAAAGTGTATAACAGGAAACTAACGATTAATCCTTGTGTTGACGGATTAAGACTACGGAGTGTCATTACCCCTATTCATCACGTGGGTGTCGCAAGAGCCGACTAACACAAAACCCTCTACCAACCCGTTTGGCCAGCGTGGTATGGAAGGCCAAAACCGCCTTTCTAAGGAAAGACCCATGTCCAGCAGTAGACAATTAAAGGCTGTTGATGATGAGGAACAATTCCCAAATCATTTTATTAGACTCCACTTGCTCTGAGCCTCTACTTTATTGTTGACCTCGTTACGTTTTTGTGCGCAGGTTGCACACGGTTGTGTGCACCTTTCATATGTGTGTGTAGAACTTGTATACTTGTAAGCAGCCGAATCGTTCTTAACTTCAATCTGCGTCGAACCTGACACACACTTTTTTTTCACTAAAAATACATTTTTTTCAAAAAAAATAATTCCTATTGGATTTGGTCTACTGGTCACGCCACTGGTATGTATAATTAATTGTAAATAATTTTATTCTTCAGGCACTGAGGACCAGCTACGAACGATATTAGACGACATGCTGGGCCCCAACCACTGTACCTCAACACCTAAGAAATGGCAATCTTCAATATTGGTAAGTGTTTTCATGACAAGTATTAGCACTGTCTGTAGTAATTAAAAATGATACTTCAGGATTATCTCGTGATAGTTTTGTTTTTAAAATATAACTCCCGCAGTAGGAATGCATCCTGTGTCATAAAACGGACACAAAGAACAACCACACTCAGAACAACTTTCGGAAAGTTATTGCCAGATTTAAATTTTCGAAAATGCAAGATAATTTTTTTGATAAGATAGATAAGAGATAATTATTATATTCGTTTGAAACTCCATATTCTTATAGTGACGTTAGGTACATTTCGAATATCTGTATTATACCTGTATATACACTCATAAAGCCTGTATTTTATATTCTAGGGTATAAAAAAACACGATCTCCTTGAAGAGATGCTGTCTCTCCTGGTGAGGCAACTCCGTTGGCAGCGTTTGTACGCTGAGTACTCCGATCAACTCACCGAACTCAAATCAAACGCGATGGTCGTCAATGGACACTGACGATAAAGAAGAAAGAGTTGAATGAGATAGAGAGACTCTTGTAAGAAGTGTGTTGTGTTGTTTAAAAAGGAATCCTGTATAGATCTCAATTTTTTTATATAATTCGTGAAATTAGAATTAGAAAATTTATATAAATTGTGAAATAAATTGTCACGGTGGCAAGGGATAAGGAGTCGATAATGCAAGTGGAAAGAATCGGTTGCGGGAACTCACTCCTTAAACAAGCGTTTTAGCTTAGCCGGAGGGCTTTACAAGAGTACTGAAGATTTGTACTGTGGGTTTTAAAAGTCAGATAAACTTACATAAATGCATTTATTTTGTAAATACATAATTATAAGTATGTTTATCAGCAGTCTGGTGACAACAGTACGGGCCCTGTTTAGTTTGAGATCAGGCGGCCGTGTGTCAAGGGGCTCAAATTATTTTTATTATTACTTATATTATAAGTGGGATTGTTTGTTTTTTCGTTTACACGTCTAAACTACTCAACCGATTAACACGAAGTGGTTTACACATTATCAAGAATACAAAAAAATACACATCCATTATCCCTTTCTTCCAGAAAAAAAGCACTGTACTCAGATAATAGGAAACAAAACTGCGGCCAAAAACTTGTGTCTAATATTTGATTTAAAGATTTTAATGCGCATTAGCAAAAGTTATTAACAATAAGAGAAGTAACACAGCCAAAACTTTCTCTTTTTTTCTTCCACTTTCTCCTCTTTAATATGTTCTACTTAAATAAGCTGTTTGTATTTGAATCAATAAACTTAAGCTGTTCTAGCGTAATACTTCTGAAGACCTCTTCGTGTGTGACACGTGTGCCTTATGTTTCTTGAACTTCATCCCAAATAAATTATGACTCATGTACATACAATAGGATCAATAATAGTGAGCCAGGGAAGGCAAACGAGAACCTGAAATGAATTAAAATAACCCTAAAAAGGCTTATGTTTCAAGGGCTAACCTTCATGGGTCGTTTGGGTTTAAAGGCAGGCATAAGTCCGGTGCTTAAACATTTGATATTTAAGGGTCTTTGACACAGCTATGAAGATTTCTTTAATGTCAGGCATCCAGAGCAAGTTGACGAATAACTGAAACAAAAACTCCTTATAATGTATATAAAGTTCCCAAGTAATAAATATATTTATAATGTACTCCGCCTTAAAATGTATAGAATTAGATTTGTAGGCTTAGATTTGTAGATGTTAGTTCATAGATTATTACTTCTACTTTTCATTCTAGGAAAAGTGGAATTCCAAATTACGTGCTTTTCAATTTACTGGAGTCAAGACATGGCCGATCTTTTTAGGCTTATAATTAATTTCGACAACAACACAAATACACTAAAATCCTAAATAATTACATTAACACGTCTATCAAAATTAAAGAAAATATAACCACTCACAAATTGTAATTTGAAATAAAAAATATTCATGAAAACAAAATTTGCAGTGAATTAATTATAATGTAACCCACACTTAACGCTGTAGTCAAAAGCTGTCACCCATTAGATTGCCTATTAATATCCACCAAAAATCGTGTTCACAACAATCTTATGAACTATTAGACAAGTTAAGTCATAAATAAAATTAATAATTAATAATAAAGGTAGCTCGGCTAGTGTGTAAGATCTGCATTTATGAAAAAGGAAAATCTCATTAAGACACCCACAATCTATAAAGAATGTAGGTTAAATATCTAGTCGTTACCCAGTTCGATATAGCGCAGTGCATAACTGCTTGCAGGCATTAGCATAGCACTACACTATACAAAACTGCATTAATTTTAACATAGCATGGTCTTAGAAATAAGAATACCAATTATTGGTTAATACCAATGTCTCCTAAAATTATTTTCTCTCCTTCTACTGACAGAGAGGAAATAATTTAAAAATAAATATCCCAAAATAATCATCATATAATGTAATTTCTTAGTGAATTATTAAAAAAATATTGTCCGATATCCTGTGAAATGGTTGCTATCTCAGTCCTAGATGTCTCTTTGAAATAAATTCATGTATTAGTAAAAACACCAATTTAGTGGTATATAAAATGAATGATGTTTTAATAATGTATTGTAAGTTATAATATTGAACAATAATAATTTTCGTATACGCGACAAGAGCGTCTATATCATGTTCTACGAATGCTCATGGTGCCGATTCTGTTTTTCACATGACTAAACTAAAAATTCTCTAATTAAAGTGTTACGTCTTTCTTCCTTTGAGTGATTTACTGAAAAGGGACGACAGTGTTCAACAGGAAGCTGGGTGAAATGTAATTTGATAACATTTTAGTGACTTTTAGTTTACTTTTTAAACTAAACTAAAAGTTTAAAAAGAAATTTAAAGGTTTTGTAAACTATATTGGCATCTAAAATAACTCATACACTCACCATTTTCATGAAATTTACTTAAAGTAGCAACCCACTCATAGGACTTTAATCCTTTAGTTAATGCGCTGTCAGCGCTCGACAATACATTTTTAAGGCCCCTCCCACTGCGGTATAGTTTTCGTGGTACCGTTATTAGCTTGAATTACATTTCGTTATATGTTTATTATGCGTTGATAGTCTTTTTGTAAATCATAATAACCCTTTGAATGGTGCTTTATATAGTTTACATTTGTAGTTTTTCTCTTTAAATATGGATCAGTGACGTTTCTTATAATAGGTATCTTAGCTATACCCTCGTATCCATTAATCAACAATTGCCACCTGTAGCACAACATGTTGCTAATGTTTTTAACTAAACAGCCATTGCTAGACGTGTTGTGTTTTCCTCCTAAGCAAATCTTTGTTTGTTTCATTTCATTCTAAGCAGCTAATATACTTAGGAACAACCGGCATGTATATAATTATATTTGTATGGGCTCTGGTATAGTAGGAGCAGGGAACTCGTAATATTTCTTCTTGACTGGCCTGTTGATCTAGTGGTTAGTGACCCTGACTGCTACGCCGGAGGTCGTGGTTTCGATTCTCATCCAGGACAAATAATTGTGTGATAAGCACGATCATTTGATCTGTGTCTGGATGTCCTTTATCTACAATATTTATGTATTTAGAAATATATAAGTATGTTTATCAGCAGTCTGATTACCATAGCACAGGCTCTGCCTAGTTTGGGATCAGACGGCCGTGTGTGAGATGTGTGAAAACATTATTTTATTATTATTATTATTTCTAGAATCAATTATTTGCTGTTGCTCTTATATACCAGTTTCACATACTAGTTACATACTTGGTACTTTTAATACAATTTATATCTTAAGTGCTTATAAAAATAGAGACCACCGCTCACTGGTGATTTTTTATTGGTATTGATTGCACACGGGCGCTCAAACAGCTAGCGGACCTTGCACGTTAGTACGTTGTTTATTTAGTACTCTGTATAATATGTACACATTGGACTGGAAACTATTAAAATTGTCTTGAGTATTAGGTAATTGTAGACACGATTATTTTGTTCAAATAAATAAAATATCTAGTCATATTGGATTCACTTTCAAGTATTACTGTTTTGCCAACTTTCACTCGAGCATATTATTTACCATACTTAGACTAGCTATCAAAAATTTAAATTGAGTGTACAAGGACAATATAACTTTAGGAAACTTTTGGAACGAAGTTCCTTATCGCGCGTTGTGAAAGGAGGCTAGACGGAAAAAATTCTCACGAAAAGTTGTAACGACACTTTTTATTTTGAATTGTCACTTGTCAGTCATTCAGCGCCATCTATCGAATAGATAGGAAATCATTACTTTTCATCTCAGTAAAATTAAAATATATGTTCTTAGGTTGAGCAATAAATATTGTATTCGACATCATTTCTCAAGGAGATTTTACTAATGTATAAATTGTTTTAATTAGAAACCAACTTAAAAATATGTAGGTAATAGCCGCTTTCATAGATGGCGTTGTAATTAAAATCGTGTCGAATCAGTTTTACTCGATCGTCACAACTTCGATCCTATCGGGTGTCCCACGACACCACACGGCTTTTTATTTTTATTTTAGCAGGTATATAAAATGTTTGTGGTTGTGTTTATTTCCGAAGGCGATAATTAATTTTAAATGTAATACATTTATTAAAAACAATAAAAATGGACATAGGATACTTGTTTGAGGTGAATACATCACTGGTTAGTAAGGTTATAATATTCTGGTAAATTTAAGTAAGTGTGCCAAATGGTTTTAATTTTTTCATTAATTTTCAATGTTATTAGCGTAAATAGAAACGCAACGCCTATTTCGTACTAAAGTAAAAATCACGCGCGTTCCCAAACCTTTTCGCAAACCAGTAATGGATGATACGTATTGGCTGAATCTTCAGCCAATACGTATTGGCTGAATCTCAAATTACTCAGGCCTTAGTAGAAGCGTAAACCTGTAGTATATCGACGACCATGACTGGTGTGAATCGGTCGAAAATATAGTTATTTAATTGTTTTGGACGTGTATAATATGTCCTTTAGTTAAAAATAAGATCTGTGTATAGGGCTCAACACTGCCAATGTATGTTAAATACATGTAAATTAATGACACAATTGTATATATAATTATTTTGTGAACGTTGAGAGATACGAGTTTGTTTTAAGCAAAAGCCTTTTGATAAAGAATGTACGGCTTTATTCACGTGTATATTGCGGGAGCGACGCCTGTTCTGGCGCCTACAGCCAATGTGGCGACTCTTCACCAAAAAGACTTAAAGGGCCATTTTAGGTGTTAAGATATTTTTTCGGAGACTAACCCCCTGCCCCCGGACTTTGGAGGGGGGGTGGGGGGGAAGCTCAAATACACTGGTGACTCTTGAGTTCCAGGTATCATGGGCGGCGGTAGTCACTTACCATCAGGTGAGCCGTCTGCTCGCTTGCTCCCTATACCATAAAAAAAATGTACACGTGTTAAAACTGTATATCCTTGATTGAAAGTAGCTTTCGATTAGTATAGTTAGTATTATAAGAACAATAATATTCATAACTACCCTTTTTTAACAGTATTATAGTCATTACTACCCTAGCATACGTCATATGCTCCGTGCCTCGGAGTGCCGTCGGTCGGTCCCGGTTGCCATACCGGCCATACGAACATTTGTGGCAATCGTTACGGGTAGTTAAATCCCTAGAAAAAAGTCCGACAGTAATGTTTCTACACGACTTCGATATCGTCCAGTAATTGGGTTGTGGAATTCTGACGGCAGTCGCTCCGCGCAAAAAAATCGAAGTTCACCCGTATCGGAGTAGACTTAAAGCCGTCCCCAACCTTGTTTAAGAAAAAGGCTTGATGGAAGACTCCGCTAGCATAGGTACGTCATAGCCTAAATGTTTACTAGCCTATACCCGTCCACAAGAATAGGGCTTCCTTATAGTATTTAGTAGCATACATTATTATTATGTTTTCTAACCCTACTTAATATTATAAAAATACTAGAATAAAGCTGTCTTTGAAGTATTTATTAATTGTTACATTATTTCATCAAAGACAGCCGAAGCGAATCATATTCCGTAAGTCTAACATCCCTGTTTTTTTGTTTTTCATCACTCGAGGAATTGTTCGGACTAATACCGCCATCGTTCCACAAAACCAAATTTTCATCCCCATCACCTGGATAGTCGGCGCTCCACAACTGTGCGCTTTTCGAGGCACTTTTTGCCCCGCACAACTAATCTGTGGAACGGGTTATCGTTTGCGGTATTTCCGGACCGATACCACCTTCAAACCTTCAAGAAAAGAGCGTCCTCTTTCCTAAAAGGCCGGCATCGCGTTTGTGACTAGTCAGCTGCAGACGTTCATGGGCGGCGACGGTCACTTTCCATCAGGTGACCCGTCTGCTCGTCTGCCCCCTCTAACATAAAAAAAAACGAAAAATTACACGCTGTCTTACAATCCTAGCCTCGCTGTTCTTACTTACTGTTATGTTAGTGTCATGCGTATCTCTCAATGTTCACAATGTAGTGCTAACTATAATAGATTTACAAAAGTGTTTTGTAAGTTTTAGAAATAAAAATGTATTTCTAATATTTTGTTTCTTTTATTTACCACTTATTAAGTGCATTTACATTAGTTACTGATTTGAGTGCAGACTGTAATAGGTCCGCGAGTTGCATGCAGAGCTTAGAAATCCGGTACTCACTGCAGGGGGGGGGGGGGGATTCTTCCACCCCGAACCTCAATCCCTGAATGCTACTGAATGCAATCAATTTGTGAGACTGCTGTAGATAAGTTAACAGCTTTATAGATAAGTTAATGCTCAATCTATATCTTATAATAATAAAGACCTAAATTTAAAAGTTCTTACATATTTGAAACAAAATTGTTTAAAAAATCTTATGTGTGTTACTGTGATCAATCTCTGACAAAGCATATCTACTAATTTTATTAACTGTGGTCGAATTTCTTTCCCAATTTGCAATAGAAGGTGGATAAATTGGAAGAGGTGGAATTATTGCTTTGCCGATGCAAGTGCGTTAATCATTTGTGAGCATAATTAAATTATTTAGCAACTATAAGAAAAACACCCAATTCGCGATATAGGTACTTACTTAACATTGAGTAACAACCATGGCCTGTGTGATCTGCTGTCGACATCATCAGTTCAACAAATAGTGTTTATGACCAGGAGAACATGAGCAGGAGAATCCCTATATTTTTATAGGAGTCATTAAAATTTTTGAAGAGTCCTGTCAATTTCTCCTACCAACTTTGATAAACAGGGTTTGTTAAGGTTTAACAATAAAATAGTCAGTTTTTATATCACAATAATTTATTTTTTACAAATGAGTTATTGATCACAACAGCTTTCAAAGGTAATGAATTCTCGAGTTTTAGACGAACAAAATACGGTTACAATGAAATAAATTCATAATGGACAAAAACAACGTATACAATAATGTAATATGAAAATATTTTCAGTATGGAGGATGAATTAACTAGACACTCGATGAAAGCTCATCTAAGCACATTTACAATGAAAATTAAGTCGCAAGTATTTGAGCTCATGACAATCGTAAACAATTTACCTATCTAAGCAACATACCGTAAACGGTCACACGCGGTGATAAACTTTGAACATCGTACATAAGACAACAATACACCGACATCTCACTCTCCACTATACGACAAGTTTGGTCCCAACTCTCGAACACATCGGCGATAAACTCTACCGGCTCGCTGAACCGTTCGAACACTTAGATACTACGATATAAACGCGATCGACACATTAACAATTTAATTATCTAAGGAGCGGGCCGGCTAGCTAGGCTATGTACAGCGGCCCCGCATTATGCGCTTTGTACCGTCGGCGCGAGCACTGGCCCGGGCCGGAGCGAGCACTGGCCCGGGCCGGAACGAGCACTGGCCCGGGCCGGAACGAGCACTGGCCCGGGTCGGAGCGAGCACTGGCCCGAGCCGGCGCTAGCACAGCACGGCGCGGTCGGGCGCGGGCGGGCCCCAGTCGCACGGCTCCAGGTGCGCGTGCGCCAGCGTGGCCGGTTTCTCGTAGTCGGGCTGGAACTTCTTGCACAGGGCCAGCACCGAAGGCGCGTGGTGGGACTTGCGCGACACCTGCGCAGGACACACAACATTTCATTTTAATACTCTGAAAAAAATGGTAAATCAATGTCGAAAACTAAAAGCTAACATAAGGTCAAAAAACAAAATGACAACTGAATAGCAAATTGTCAAAAGAGCACAACGTCAAAAGCGCACAATGTAAAAGTAGAATGTCCAGTTACCAGAATGTCCAATATTCATCCGGCAAGTGCCAAAGTCGCTGTAGTAGTTGAACCAATTCTACTAGCTTATATAAAATGAAACTGGTAGGTTAGGTGTGTATTGCGACGAACAACGAACTGTATATTGTGTAAAAAAAGTAAGAATCGATATCCGAGCTTTAACATTGTGAAGTTTTGACGATGTGTGCTTTTGACATTCTGCTCTTTCGACAATATGCGATCCATTTGTCAATGTTAAAGATAAAAATGCTCTAATGAGTGCCATTTGCATACAACATACAACTTTTGTGAATAAATAAAGAAGCAAAATATAAAACTTTAGCATGTAAAACAGAGACTACATATTAATACGAACTAGTCGCACACAAACAACTTTCAAAAGGACTTATGTCTACAAACACATGCCAAAAATTTCCTAGCTAAAAGCCCTACCATACAATATCTAATCTGACTGCATATTCTATTCTAGGCAAGTAAAAAAAGTAAAATTTTCATGACAATAAGACAACTTATCTGCAAAGAAAACAGAAATTAAGAAAATAATTAAATTAATAAGAAATAAAATTATGTATAAACACAATTTTCTGAATATGTCAATGGATGGTTCCCCATTGAGCTATTTGCTCTGTCTGATGTGACAAATTGCAAAATTCATATAATTTTGTCTTTTATATAGCCATGCATTGAAAGAGACATGCATTCTAACAACGAAAACACGAGCAATCAGAATATTTTACAAAGGTTAGATTACCTAACCAAATGATTACATGTTGGGGAAGTGAGTCCTGGGAAGTTTCAAGTAAAATCACGAGCCCCGCCTCACCTTGGGCGTGGAAGGTGCATCGGGGAAGGGTGGCGAAAAGTCTCGCGCGTGTGCGTGCTTGAGTGGCTTGTCGGCAGAACGCTCGTCGCGCTCAGCGCGCTCGCCTCGCTCATCACACTCGTCGCTCTCCACGCGCTCTAAGCGCTCGGATCGCTCGCAGCGCGGGGTTGGGGGTGAACCCTGTGGCGTTCGAGACACACATGATTCTGAAATAAAAAAATATATACATTTTAAATAATTCTTTGCTAATACATATTATTATTTTTTAATCTTGGAGAAAAAAATCTTCGTAAAAAACAATTGTTGCTCACCTTTGTTATCATCATGTGCCCCATTGGTCCCTTTGCATCCATTGACACTGTTGTGACCGTTAACTCCATTATGTCCGTTAACGCCATTGACGCCGTTAACTCCATTAACGCCGTTAACTCCGTTTACACCGTTGACTCCGTTGCCAGCGTCAACGCTGACGCCACTGAGGGTGATATCCTCATCATCGTCGTCATCGTGTGCGAGTTCGTTGACGTCAAAGCCGACACCCACGATGGCATGCGGCAGGTCCACCTCGTCTTTTAACCAGGGGTGCTCCAGGCACTCTTCCACTGTAAGACGACCCCTGCGACACACATCGACATTGTTAATAAAATGTATGTTAAATAATTATATTAAATAGTTAAACTAGACAGGACACACATACAGGACAATTAAAAATAAATAGTCATGCCTTGCATAATTTACAAACGGAATTTTAGTTTTTCGGTAGCAGAAAAACTAAGAAATGATGTTTAAGATATTGTTTTTTTTTTAATTTAGTGAAATCAAATCGAAATATTTTTTTTTACTTCAACATCATATCACCTTAACAATTCTCATATAATTTTAAACATAGGTACATAAACAACAGCACTTTGGGTTCCCTTTATAATCTGGTGGATTATAAGATAAATAATTATTATGTCTGGCAAGCCCAGGACTTATTGTATGTATTTATGTAAATGTGTCCGTGTGGTGACGGATTAAGAATACGGAATGTCACCACCCCATATTGCTCCCGTGGGTGTCGTAAAAGCCGACTAAGGGAGCGAACTACGCGAAGGAAAACTTGACACAAACCCTATACCAACCCGTCTGGAAAGCGTGGTATAGTAAGCCAAAACCTCCTTTCTAAGGAGTGGCCTATGTCCAGCAGTGGACTAGTGGACTATTAAAGGCTGTTCATATGATGTGATGTAAACATAATATGTTACTTTAGAACGGTCTACTTAAAATTATTGTCTTAATAACCAGTTACACTTACTTAGGATCAACGACAAGAGTCTCTTTAATGAACTGTATGGCTTGATGCGACACCCCCCGGAACAGTCGCTTGGGGAAGTTGAGCTGGCACTGCGCTATGTTGAGGTACGTTTCCTGCTTGGTGTCACCCGCGAATGGCGAGTACCCGCTGAGGAGGACGTACGCCAGGACACCGACCGACCAGATGTCTGCGGCCAAGGAAAGGGGTTCGTAGGACAGGATTTCAGGCGCTGGAAAGAGAAAAGAATGCTTTAAATTATGGTTTTCTTTTTTTGTACATAGGAGGGGGGGGGGGGGGGGGGCACTTGCGGACGGGTCCACTGATGTAAGTGACTACCGGTGCCCTATGACCGACCTTTCAGTGCCCCTTCCCCTTACCCCAGGAGGGGTCCAGAATGGGGTGAGGAGGGGGGGGTTTCTCAGCTAGTATATGGGACCTCGAAGCCGTTAAAACAGATAACATTCTTTAGGTTATAAGCCGTTAATCTGAAGGAGATTGCAGTTTAATAGCGGTTCTTGAGTACTTGTACTGTAGTCAAGTACTAGTTTTATTTTTATTTTAAGTTACTGTTGCAATCCATACTATTCCTTACTACTATTATAAATGCGAAAGTGTGTCTGTCTGTCTGTTACTCTTCGCGCTTAAACCGCTGAACCTATTTAGATTTTAGTACAGAGCTCGTCCGAGTACCTCCTCGGATTTAGTAGTGGTCATGTGTAGTCGTCATAGTAATTAATGGTGGTCGGCTACATTACGATGCTTCGATGTTTACTGACAATAGCTGTTTCTGTGATTAACAGATAGCCGGGCGAGTCTAGGTCTGTCTTAAATCCACATTCAGTGCACACATATCCTTTGGCAAATTTTAAGTACAACAAATGTAATAAAGATAAATATTTGTTTTTTAATACTATTTAAAAAAATATATGAAAAAATACTATTATAATATTATACTAGGTTACAAGCGGTCTGATGATTTGTAAGGTATATGAGCATGGTTATTGCTATGAATTAGGAGCAATATTAATAACGCCTGCTAAGATGAGAGCATATCTTAACAGATGTTTAATCTCGTCATGGGATAATTTTACGACACGGAACCTGTATAATTTCCTAATAGAATATCCGAAAGTCAGATACAGTTTTCATTACGAAGCTATAGGAGTTTTGAACTCGGGATTAATGTCAGTGTGTCTAATCGTAGCGGTTGTTTTTGGTGCTAGTATCTATCTAGATTCTGTTGACATCATAAACCTATCGATATAAAGTTACGTGAACTACTCACCAACATAATCCGTCGTGCCTAATATTTCGCGGACATGTGCTCCAGGGTGTATGGCACGGCTGATGCCGAAGTCACATATCAACAGTTCTTCACTCCCAGCGGTTAGAAGAAGGTTCTGTGGTTTGAGGTCTAGGTGGGCCACACGGCGTGCATGTAAATGTGCTAGGCCTTCTAGAACGTGACGAAGTGCCCGCCGCGCGGATCCTTCGGATAATCTGTCTTCCTCGTCCAAAAGACGTTGTAATTCTCCCCCCGCACACAATTCTAGGACGATCGCCACTTCTGAACGTGTCTCATAGACCTGAAAAGTAAATGGTGTAAACTTTTAGCTGAGTAACCCAAAATAGTCAGCTGGTGGAACTTACTTCTTGCATAGGAAATAGTTTTATTGTGAAAAGATTAGATGATTTTATTTTATTTATTTATTTTATTTTGTTCGGAATACCAACAGCACAAATAACGCAAGGTAAAACATTACAGTACAGTAACAAAGAAGCTATTCACAGGTATTCGCAAATAGATTTCAAGTGTGAAACAACAGTTCAAATAACTTGGCAACAACAACTTAGAAAAAAGAAAGAACTTAGAGTAAGAAAATGTCACGCTCCTAATATTGGTCTTAAAACATTTTTGAAGCATGTATATTTTGACATGTGAAGGTCTGGATCTGAAGTGCTCAAACTCACTACTTAATTTATGCATATCATTTACAGATTTATTGGCTCGAATAATAAAGGAATTTTTGCGGTAGTTGGTATTTGTTCGAGGTACTGCTAAGGGTGGATTATGCCTAGTGCGTAAATTATGCGGTTCTCTGATTTTAAATTTCTTGATTTGATGATGGAAGATACATGTGGTTATTACGACATCATAGTACCTAATGTGTGACTTAAAATATAGGAAAGAAACCCTCCTGTTGTGGTTCATTGTAAATAATTACTTTCTCTGAATATTACACGGTTAAAAGTAAAAGACTTAAGCATAATAGAAAAATTATCACATAAATGTGACATGTATCTAATGAAACCGCTACTCACCCTGTTTGGGAATGACTCGTCAGAAAGCACTTTTTCAATATTATGTTGCAATCATCATCATCATCAACAGCCTTTACTAGTCCACTGCTGGACATAGGCCTCTCCTTAGAAAGGAGGTTTTGGCCTACTATATCACGCTGGCCAGACGGGTTGGTATAGGGTTTGTGTCAAGTTTTCCTTCTCTGTGAACGGTCTACTTAAAAGTATTGTTCGTTATTATGTTGCAAAAGTGCTTGTATATTCTGGGGTGTGCAGGATTAACACAGGACAAAATTAACACTGAATTTGCTTAATAAGAAAATAAAAATATAATATACCTCGTGCAGACTGACGACTCTTGTGCAATCAGCGCAGAGTGCAAGTACAGCGACCTCGTGCAGGATCTCGCGAGTGGTGTCCGCTGCGCGCCGCCGCTTGCGTATGAACTTTGCTGCGTACTCCTCCCCTGACACTAAGTGGCGGATTTTGCGAACTGATGCGAATTTGCCCCTGGAATAGGAGAAGAGGAAAACGTTACTACTCTTGTGCTTGATTGGATCGCAACAAAAAGTGTTTCTTTAATTTCTCTGAAGTCAGGATCATTATATATTATCATTATCATCAACATAATGGGATAAATATATCGGAATATATCGGCAACGTAACGTTTTTGAACATCTAAAACGTGTTTTCATGCAAAACGTTGTCCCTTTTATGCAATTTTGTTTATCAAGAACGTAGGGAGTCTTAAAATAAAAATGATTTCTGTTTAAATGACACGAAGAAAGACTAATCTACTGACACCAAATAAAAGGAAGTATGTTCTATTATTACCTAGCTTAATCTAAATTAGAATAATTTCAAAGCTGTCGTACAGAAATCAAATAATTTACCCAAATTTAACTTGTGGCTGCTTACGTAATATTGTTCATGTTAATACTATATATACTTTCTTACGTAACTCAACGAAGGGAGACAAAACATAAGGAACAGCGACGTGAAAGCTGTCTTATTCGAAAGCTAGACAAAAGTACAAGACTGGCTCTACTACTGACTCCTTAAATCATGTTTCCAGGCAAATGTGGTATTACCGACATTGTAATCTGGCGATTTCATTAACCTGTCGCCGTTTAAGACAAAGTGTGGGTCGTAAATATGTCAGGGACTACCATTAGGCGGCATTAGCGGGAATAATTGCAGTTCAAATAATAGAAGGTGCGCACACGCAACAGCTTCTTGAAGGCGATCCTATCGAGTAATCTATTGACTAGTTATACATGGAGTATGAATTCAGGGATTAGCCACAAGTATTAAAATACTTGTGGCTAATCCCTGAATTCAAACTCTATGTAAAGTGTAAATTTGTTGGTATGTATGTTAGATAAACTACACAGTAGAATATTCAGTCTGATTTTCATTAAGACATACAAACTTCACATGTTATTACTGCCAACAGCCGCAATAGTGTACAATGATGTAATTACTTGGCACGTAGGGCGTAACATTCACAAATCATTAACAAAAAAACATTAGCATTAGAGTCAATTACCAAATTTACAACCAGAAGTCAAACTATCTGGAAAATAACGGCTCAACTCATTTGCCGCTGAATTGGTTTCGTTATATAATTATGCGCCGGCGCAGAATTTAGAGTGGTTGCAACAATGCTTAATTTACATTACTTCCTTTGGATAAATTATTTACAGTAGATGTAAAGAGCTTTACGCGTAGTCCTAAGCGCATAATTGTGTCGTTTGTGTACTTATCTTCAAATCCAGATCTGGAATGTAAGCGATTGATGTGTTCCAAGAATTATTGGATTGCATAAGGATACATAGACAGTCATTTAAAAAGAAACACTGATCTACTTGCGAAATGCTTGATGGCAACATTTGCTCCAAAAATAATGAACTGCAGAACTGTGATGTATAGTCATAATTATGGTTTTGGTATGTGTGCCGCGATGCGCAGGCGCCGGCACCCCACGGTGAAAACGTCGCGCCTGCGCCAAATGTACACGCCAGCTGAAGGAATGTATTCCTGTCTACTTGAGTCTTTCAAGATTAATTTACTAACACGTACCCGAAATTATAATTTGTAATTATATTGTTTGTATACAGAATAGAATTTTTAATCGGCGTAAATCAATATGTACTCATAAAATCAGGGGGAACAAAAATAAGTGATTATTTTTGTGTAGTATGATTTATGCTGCAAGAAGTTTTGAGATACAAAAATTCTAGATAATCAAGTCACGAGCAGAGGCACAGCCATCAGGAAAATAAGCTTTAAATCAATTATTCTAAAACAACAATAAAATCATGTCGCCAATACAAAAACTACAAACATTTTAACAGCAGATTATATTGGAGAATTATATTTTTTACTAAAAGACACGAACAATAAGCGTTTCCCACGTAAGTCGTTCAATGCCGTTACGCGGGTCACACAAATTTTTACGCTCATTAACTCAAAATGTTCGTGGTGTACACTTCGACTGCAAGTTTTTTCTTATCGAGTTTTTATAATATGGTTTATAATGTTTGTCATAATGCTTCATTAAAAGAACTGCGTAATTGGCCATTGCGTTAGGTATCGTACCTACATCGCTGACATGAGTTACGAAATAGATAGTATGAACGTTAAACACATTAATACCATTTATTTTGTAAGTAGTCGTAACTTACAAGATCTATTTCTATTTTCATAAATATTTATTATTTTTTACTTATACATCTGCGGATGTCAGATTTCTTCGGTATATAAAAGCATCTTAGATTATTAATTAATAATCTATGATAAGTATGTTCCACCTCTGTCGTGATGGCTATGATTCAAGCTATCCTTTGATACAATGCTTATATATTATGAAACCATTATTGGTTCAAGATTTGTAAGTACATATATCACCAGTTAACCTATCAGAAGTCGAGGCTAATATGATCAAAACCTCAAAATCTTTCAAATAAGTTCGTTATCAAACTTTTATATATCATATAAAACACCAATCTGACCATAATTTTAGAACTCTTAATTAAAATGTTAAGATATCGTATTACATTGTTTATAACTTATTTCAACCTTGACTGTAATCAATATCTTTATTTCACGATTCTTGAGATGAATAACTCATCTACTAATTCATATAGATACATGTCATCTACACACACTACATGCATAAAATGATGTTCAGGTTGCTGGTAAATTGCTTCTATTATTTTACTAAGAGACTGTTTTCTTAAATACTAGGTATACCGGCTATAGCGTAATAAAGATTTAAGAGGATAAAGGACATTATTCTAGACCTCAATTTCTTAGCTGCAAGTTTAGAAACATAGGCTGTGGAATATGGGGATCATACCGCGGGTCATAGTGATACAAAACTAATTAGGTCACAACAATAAAACGATACCAGACAAAATCAACCATTGTAATCCTCTATCAAGAAAAAATTATTAAAAACATAATATTTAGTAACTAACTTCCTATAATTTACGTACGATTCGTAACACGTAACACCGAAACAAGGATATATCTAAAACATCTGGGAGTTGTTACATAAAACAAATGCGGTATTGAGGTCAATGTCGGCACGTGGAGGACTCGGAACACGATTCGGGGTTAAATCGGGGTCATTGGAGGGCAACGGAGGGCACAAGAAAGCGAGCGAGGGCGGTTAGAGGCCGGAAACACCCCTATGGCCCGGTGACCTCGTCCTGGCACACGACAGGAAGGTCACAGCTGGCTATATTTAGAAGGAATTGAAACATTAAAAGATTCAGTTCAATCTTTCAGTTTAATTTTAGTTTAAAAAAGTTTTAGTAATAAAAAAAGGTGATAGAAGAATGGACACTTGATCTATATAACTAAAACTCTTAAAGGTCTAAATAACTATCATATTAAAACCCCCCACATTTATGCCAACTTCGTGCTATTTTGCAAGTGTTTACAAATAATCAGAGGAATGCAGGAAGATGTAACAACAGGCTAAATTCCATTATTACTGAAGGTTGTTTACAGAATCTAATACTTATAGTTGGTGGTATAACATCGTGACGTCACAAAGTCGTCACAGTCGTAAAATTTATTAGAACTAGGCCATTGTCATTGGCCTGGCTTTAATTGTCAGTTTTAGAGCACAAAATTACAGACTGTGCTTGCTGCCCGCGGCTGCCTGCGTGGATTATTTATATACCTTCAAATTTTTGCGTGAGACAATAACACACATCTATCGATCTCCACTAAGCTTAGTTTATATTTGTTAGTACAGTGTAGTTTAAAGAATGTAATCTGAAATCATCAAAAACTTATAACAACGTTTATTCAAAGGTTTAGAAAATTCGCAAGATTTCAGATGAATGCAAATTCGCCAATCGGCCCTGTCGTTAAGAGAACGACGTGATACAGGGTGTATCGATATGCATAAATGTTGCTACGTGCCACAGTGGTCCACTTTAGTTTAAAGTGACAATGCTGGCTAATACTAATATTTGTAACATGTCAACTGCACAATCAGATATGTTTTAATGCAGGCTTTTTGTTTAGATTCACATATACCAGTGCACCTTAAGCCCATTAAATATTTTGGGTAGAAATTAACATACCTGTCAAGTGTCCTGCAATGACAAAATACAATAGTTATTGACCCGTTGAAAGTTACAATCTAAAGATCATAGAAAATTTCTCAACAGTCACATGTAAACACGCATGCAGTGTGTTGTAGAACAGAAGAGACTATTGACACGGTGTCAGTGGGTCAAGTCCCACGTTGACCCACCGCCGAGACATGCGCGTGAGTTTACATGCATACACTGTTATTGCGCAGCACATCTGTTGCTGTAAAGAAGTAATAATATTTCAACTCTAAACGACCGGGTACTGGGAAAGTATTTTCTACAGCTGTAAAAGTTCATTATATTTTAACAGACATGATCATTTGCATTTAATAGTTGTAGCAGTAGTAATAGTTGTTTTAAGTTAAGCATTTTTAATAATTACAAATCTTATACATTTGAAACTATCAAGAGTAATTGTTAAATACAATGAGGTTTATAGACGGACATAACGGCATAGTACAAAAGAAAACCAACGGGATTAAATAAGAACGTTTAAGTTTAAAGTGGAAAACTATTTTTCAATTAAATACTATGTGACTATGTAAAAGGAAGTCAGTAACAGTAACAGTAATTAATTAAATTTTAGGTAAGTTTGGTACAAAATATTATACACAACATTGTCAGAAGAACGTCACCGGTAAATACCGACAGTCTTACTCATTCATCGTTCCTGCGGTTACACAGGATGTTCAAAATAACTTCAAAACTTATCGTCCATTTAACGACGGCATTTATTTTAGTGATTTCGCCGCTCGTCTTGCAAGAAGTTGTACGTTTAGGACGCCGACGAAATTCGGCGAAAACGCACGCACCTGCCTGCACAAAGTACGGACTGCAGCTGGAGTGCGCAACCCGGTACAAAAAACATACGCCGCGCCGATCGCAGACAAAGATTGTTTTTTTTTTTAACACAAATTTTGTATGAAAATACTTTTAAATACATTATTTAACAGATTTTTAGTAAAAATGTTATCGGCATGTTTAAAAATTTATTTAGTAATTTAATGTCATGGTCACAATCCATGGCAACAGACTATGGGTTCAAGAAGGTGATTCTGCAACGTAAAATGGTTACCTGTCGATTGTGTTGTCTTCTCATATAATATAATATAAACAATCGGAAACGTGCGAGTCGGACTCGCGCACGAAGTGTTCCGTACCCGTACATTATCTATAAAAACGGCAGAAAACTACAAGCTTGATCCGAAGACCACCCGACGATATTGCATAGATATTATTTTATTAACACGTCATAATCAGTCACACCGCAATACGAACATGGAAAAAGTGTTATTTATAGTTTCATACTAATAAGT